CAATCCCGGTCTAGCCCTGCTGTGACAGTCTAATGTCCAGGGTTCCAATCCCGGTCTAGCCCTGCTGTGACAGTCTAATGTCCAGGGTTCCAATCCCGGTCTAGCCCTGCTGTGACAGTCTAATGTCCAGGGTTCAATCCCGGTCTAGCCCTGCTGTGACAGTCTAATGTCCAGGGTTCAATCCCGGTCTTGCCCTGCTGTAATTTATTACACTTGGAACACTATTATGGATTTCATTTAGTTTGTATCATCTTTATTATTTATTTCTCAGTGGCAATGTATGATTTTCTTTTCAGAATGATTGATCAAAGCTATATAGTCATGCTGGTAAAATCAGTTTCCAATACTTGGTTACAGTGGTACGAGGACCCTTAAATATAAGTTGTTAGTTGATACAAATTAGGCCTTCTTGCACTCATTATTTACTAGTGTGTTAATATTATATAGAATAGTTATCTAGTTGTATTAGTGACAATGCCTAATTATACAACCATCTATTTCAGTATAAAAATCATGGACAAATTGCTTCCTTATATTTCATCGTCTTTTTTTTAATCCCCAACTTTCCCCTTACATTAAGCTACAGACTATATGTGATGGCCGAATAAATGCAATAATACCTTCGTTTTAATTTGTTGATATTTTATGGTAGAAAGTTTCAATAATTTTGTTTTATTTATGTTGCGAGATACCGTTGAATGATTTGTTACGTAACCCACAAACCAGTTCACAGTACCCCCCCCACCCGCCTCCCAATTCTTGAGGTTTGGTTAAGATACACCAAAATGATGAAGAAACTTTCAAAAACAGCATGTAGTTTTGTCAAAAAGAGACCATTTGTGATTTTGATCCCCCATTTTACCCCCTCATATCTCGGGATGGTCTCCAAGCTGACCTTAATTTCATGTCATATCATGATTGTATAACCCCAAGGTATGTATATACAAAAAATAAATCTATCGGTGTTAGCCACCAGAAGGCCCAAATTGGCACCCCTCCTCGAATATTTAGTCAATTTTGTCAGTTAACACCTTGTTTTTCTTTAAGCAACCATACGTACTCAACGCACTTAAATTCACTTCTTTAATGACCAGGGGCTACACATTAATTCTCCTTTGATATTCAGTTTGTTCAAGCATACATGTGGTGTAGTAGTTTTCAAGGAAAAAACTATGCGAAAGCTTGAAAAAGTCGACTGAAATTCTAATTTCTCTTTAATCTATGCAAATTTGAACAGTAATTTGAAAGTAAGGTTTAAGGTTTTGAATTTGATTAGTTTTTGGGCCATAAAATTACCAAATCATACATAATCCTTTGGTAAAGTTGGTCATCAGTTTGTTTTAGATATAAATTAACTTTAATTTAATGATTTAAGTGTTATTAAGTTTTATTGAATTCAATATATTACAATTTCATTTCTCCTTTTTTATTTGTTTTCTCTTTTTTTTCTGATTTTAGCTGACGAACATCCATTTATTGACATATATAGCTTCGTCCATCTTGGGTCTGGTGCCTACATCTATTTTAAACTGTTATATGGGGACAACGGTGCGGTCCATGGAAGATGTACTGTCCGATGACTCCAACAAAACTACTGGCTACATTATATTTATAGTTCAGGTAAGTCAGCACAACTTAACTAGTTGTTACGAGGTTAGTCTCACAAGTCCAAGAAAACTTATCTAGTTGTTACGAGGTTAGTCTCACAAGTCCAACAAAACTTAACTAGTTAATATGAGGTTAGTTTCATAAGTCCAACAAAACTTAACTAGTTATTATGAGGTTAGTCTACGAGTCCAACAAAACTGAACTAGTTGTTATGAGGTTAGTCTCACAAGTCCAACAAAACTTAACTAGTTATTATGAGGTTAGTCTACGAGTCCAACAAAACTGAACTAGTTGTTATGAGGTTAGTCTCACGAGTCCAACAAAACTTAACTAGTTATATCACAGTTATTATGAGGTTAGTCATTAGTTGTAGCAGAACTAGATCAGGCTGATCGTTTGTGACCATGCTGGTAGCTCAGTTGGTAGAGCGATAGTCTAAAGGGCTGAGGGTCCTGGGTTCAAATCCCTTGTCTTGCTGTGCATTAGTCTGCTCCTGTTCCAAGGATCAGCTTCCAAGAAAACTACTCGCTAATCATTAATATGTACTTACATGTTCAGTGATGGAGTTATAATGAAATCTCTGGCAATTCTACACAGCTAATGATGCAGATATCAAAACTTAGTACACTCGTCGTGTGCTCGTGATTTTAGCATATCTGAAAAATCTGTAATTTTCTTTAAAAAAAATTCAAACATGTGTTTGTAATTCATGATTGTGCCCAGATTATACAATTCACTTGCCTGGTACCTGAGGGACATGTAGATTGAATGTCAGGTCTAATGTATAATTAATAGTTTCATTATTTGCTATGAAATCAACATGTCAGGCTGGTATATTTTTTTCGAAATCTACCTAGGGCTATAGTTCTCATAAACCATGTATGAAATTGTACATACAAAATGAACATGTGTGTAATAGAAATACCTTAAAAAGCACATCAGCAGGAGGCAACGTGACACCTTCATAAATAATGATAAATACATTAATAAATGTGAAAAACATGTATAAAGGGAGACATAGATATGTTGTGCAATAATGATAAAAAATAAAATAAAATATGACAAAAATAATACGATAGTTGTATATATATGATTACTATAATACAATAGTTGTATATACATATACATAATTACCAGTAATAGAAAATGTAGAATCTTAGCTGTAAAGGTAAAAAACAATACGTAATCAAATTTTAAAATTGGTATGGAAATGTGGATTGAACTTTTCACAAGTAGAAGACTAGGACACATAATTATTAATAATAAGAAATGTATAATCTTAGCTGTACAGGTAAAAAAACACTACATGTAATCAAATTATAAAATTAGTGTGAAACCTGTGGGTTGAACTTTTCGCACGTAGCGAGACATATAACTATTAATAATAAAAACTGTATAATCTTAGCTGTACAGGTAAAAAAAAACAATATTTAATCAAATTATAAAATTGGTGTGAAAAACGTGTTTGTAGTTACCAACAGAGAGATAGGTAAAGTCTGTAAATTAAATATTGATTCCATGAAGACCTATACGGCAGTGCATGCATGTGAAGAGTTCTATCTGCGTCGTAAAACATCACGATGGCAGGCCTTGATGTGTGAAATCTTGTGCAGGTCCTATTGACGGACTTGATATCTCATACCTAAGAACGGCTAGCGTGCACTCAACACGGGCGCTTTTAAATGGCATTTCCACCTGATGAATAAATGTACTTTGAATTTTAAAGAGATAACAATTTAATTAGAATCATGGAATTAATCTTAATAAGTGTGATAAGACAGGATTTGAAAACAATTGAGATGTATTTTGCTATTGCATTAAGGAAAACACCCTGGAGATTGTAGTGTGCTGGGGCTATTGTAAGCCAAACCAATGTGCACAATCTCTGTTCTAGCTTGATGGCAGAAGATTTTGTCTTTTATATGACTTTATCCTGTATACCCGGAAATTTTTGCTGCAATTTAATTTTTCACCTTTTTTCGCCCTCCATTATGTGGACGAATTTATCATTACAGCGAAAATAATGAAACAACACACTATATATACACACCGGTAGTAATTTAATGTGAAAAGCGAAATTAACACTGGGCTAAAATTGATTTCATGGTGGGAGGGGAGAAAGTTTGACTAATGCCAATAAATTCCCCCTTTACAGTATATATGCATAATTTGATGCTTTCCAATATATTCCAAAAGCATGGGATTTTCATCAACCTTACAGTATTTGTATGCAGGTACATGTACCGCTCTTGTCAAATTTGGACATCATTAAATGTAATGTGATCTCTGAATACCTTATTAAAGGCAATAGACATTTATTTGATTCTGATAGAAATGTATCTAATATATGTATTTCTTTCATATACCTCTTCGCTAGAGTAAATGGTCAAGCAGCACCAAGTCAGAATAATGCTTAACAAATCGGAACTCTTCTTTAGTGGAGACTTTAATGTACAGCCTTCTATAGCTACCTTAGCATGAAGATGTCTCACTGTGAACTCTTTACATAAAAACGTTATTTAAAAGGAGAGAAAGTTGGAGATTAACAATAAACGAAAGGTTTTAGTCTACATGTATGTAATGATGATACATTTTAAGACAAAGTGGAGCCCACTCAGGGGAAATAGTGTTAAATCATTTGAAACTAACTCTGTCAGTACGTGTGAATGGCATTTAAACCAAATTTGGGCTGAAGCATCAATGAGCCAAGGGGACTTGTAAATGTGGACATGCTGATAGCATGACCTGTTGCTTTTTTGAGGGGAGTGAATTTGAAATATGTCAGCCTTGGCTTTTTATTGGCTGAGGCATTTTCGACTTCTCAGTTTCCTTCAGTCTGACTTTGAGAAATCTTTATACATTTACAAGTGTTTCTTTTATGGTACATGTACTAACCAAGTGCTTTTTATAAGAATCAATTAGCTACCAAAAAGGACCGGCTGTTATTTGATTGGCTGAGACATAAAGGACCAACTGTTAATTGATTGGCTGAGACAAAAAGGACCAACTGTGAATTGATTGGCTGGGACATAAAGGACCTTTAACTGTTAATTGATTGGCTGGGACATAAAGGACCTTTAACTGTTAATTGATTGGCTGGGACATAAAGGACCTTTAACTGTTAATTGATTGGCTGAGACATAACGGACCTTTAACTGTTAATTGATTGGCTGAGACATAACGGACCTTTAAATGTTAATTGATTGGCTGAGACATAAAGGACCTTTAACTGTTAATTGATTGGCTGAGACATAACGGACCTTTAAATGTTAATTGATTGGCTGAGACATAACGGACCTTTAAATGTTAATTGATTGGCTGAGACATCTTCAGTCAGACCAGTGTAAGGTACCAAACTTGATATGACTTATCATCATTTATTGGTTCGGAACTGGTATGCTTATTTGTTTTGGTTGATTTGATACCAGAAATAGTCACCCTGTCATCTGATTGACATTTTTCACAATTTGACTTATTTTCAATTCCATCAGGTCAATTTGAACAGAATGATGTACATTTATTCCTGCCATTGTCCTTGCAAATTGCGTAATATTCAAATTTGTTTGTCAATAAGAAGACTTCATCACAGATCACACAAGTTTTAGTGGAAGCGTTTCAACCTCTTGATTTATCCAACTTACAAAAAATATGTAATACAGGCCTTATGGGCCTCTCGTTAAAGTTTACCACGATGCTTTGGTCGAAGTCTCCAGGGAAACCTATAAATAGCCGGCCCCTTTGTTTGATCGCACCTCCCACAGTCCTTATAGACATTCTAATCAGGAGATATGGATTTGGAGCTGTTATAAATAGCGTTACCTGTACGAACCTGGCAGTTCAATTGATGATGATACTTTCATGCATAATTTAGCTACTGTTCTGACAAATAGAGATGTTTTTTGCTCTTTGGTATGAGTTTTGGACCTTACTTGGAGACAATGTTACCTTGTTTTAATCTCCCTTAACCTGGGAGATTAGGAGTTACAGTGTCATGAAGTCCCTGGTTTTTACTGCTAGTTATGTTACATATTATATCACTGATTTTACTTTGGAGTGATGTTACATGTGACATCATTGGCGAATCACCTCGGAGTTGCACTGCATGTGACATGTGACAGTAACATGACGTCTCTAACTTGACCTTGACAGTAAGGTGACAACTTGACCTTGACAGTAAGGTGACGGCTCTAACTTGACCTTGACAATAATGTGACATCTCTAACTTAACCTTGACAGTAATTTGACAGCTCTGTCATGACCTTGACAGTAAGGTGACACTCTGAAATGACCTTGACAGTATGTTGACAACTCTATAAATTTGACCTTAACAGTAACGTGACAGCTCTGACCTGACCTTGACAGTAATGTGACAGCTCTAACTTGACCTTGATAGTAATGTGACAGCTCTGACATGACCTTGACAGTAAAGGACAGCTCTGACAAGACCTTGACAGTAAAGGACAGCTCTGACATGACCTTGACAGTAATGAACAGCTCTGACATGACCTTGACAGAAACGGACAGCTCTGACATGACCTTGACAGTAACGTACAGCTCTGACATGACCTTGACAGTAATGTGACAACTCTAACTTGACCTTGACAGTAAGGTGAGACTCTGATATGACCTTGACAGTAAGGTGACAACTCTAACTTGACTTGACAAAAATGTGACCGTGACAGTAACGTGACGTCTCTGACTTGACCTTGACAGTAACGTGACATATCTGCGTTGACCTTGAGAGTAACGGACAGCTCTGACATGACCTTGACAGTAATGTGACAACTCTAACATGACCTTGACAGTTTGGTGACAACTCCAACTTGACCTTGACAGTAAGGTGACACTGACATGACCTTGACAGTAATGTGACAACTCTAACTTGACCTTGACAGTAACGTGACGTTTCTGACTTGACCTTGAGAGTAATGTGACACTCTGACATGACCTTGACAGTTACGTGACAACTTTAACTTGACCTGACAAAAATATGACCTTGACAGTATGGTGACTTCTCCAACTTGACCTGGACAGTAACGTGACATAAGACATGTGCACAATTATTCTTGTCAGGGTCAAAAGTTTCTTGAATATCAGCAAGACAATTGTAATTCTTTATGGTCAGGGTCATGGCTTAGTTTGTAAATATTACTGCCAGATAAAAGTTTCAAGATCATTGTAGTTACATTTAGTGGTGTCACGTTTAGTGGTGTTATGTTTAGTGGTGTTATGTTTAGTGCTTAGCAGGTGAGACATGACACTTGTATGTGTAGTCAGATATGGGTGGTCATGTGGTGCAGTGGATAGCGCATTCACCCTCACAAAAGTGGGCGGGGTTCGATTCCCCAATCAGACATGAAAAGGTATTGGTTTACCTCCCCAACCACGCAGGTTTTCTCCAGGTACTCTAGTTTCCTCCCACATTAAGATCCCTAAGTAAGTGTGCTAACACATGGGGCAACAAAAGTGATTAATATAAGTTGTAAGAACTTGTTTCAGAATTTAAAACAAATAAAGTATGTGATGGTGTTATAATAATAACAATTCAAGGTTCTTATCTATCGATTAATCACGACCTAGTTCGTAGGTCGTCTCAAAGCGGTTCACAAATTATTATCCGTGGTTATAGGGCCTTTGCAACCAACCAATATCGTTCCCAACTCCCTGAGGAGCATACAGCTGGAGCTGCCATTTCGGCACTCACAGCTAGCATTCAACAATTCTAGCTCTGCCCAACCACATACTCATTTACAGCTGAGTAGACTGGAACAAGCGGGGAGTAAAGCATCTTGCTCAAAGATACAACACAATGCCGTGCCTTGACTCGAACCCGCAACCCTTGGGTAACGATCCCGGCGTCTTACCACTAGACTACCGTGCCTCCTAAAATACAAGTTATATTTGTGTCATCAGATATCATATATAATATCTGGTATAAGGTAGACAGTTTGGAAATGCTAGGTTACAATGTGTGACTTTTACCTTGAAAATCATTAACAACACTCAATACTGTGTGATGTGGCCCCACTGTTGATTGATGTTGTATATCAAAAAACTAAACTAGGTACCATATATGGTACAACTAGATAGGTACCTTCAATATCATATATATACATCTGACACAAATTTCAGATGTTACCATAAGTGTTAAGTGCCATTGATGCTAATAAGCAATATAGGAAAATATGCTTGATTTGAGAACTTTCCAAAATTCTTAGAAGCAACTGTTTAATAGATAATATTTTCAAGTAAGTAAATCAAAGTGAAGAGCTAGATAGGTCAGTGCTTATTTAACTCATTCATCCCTGAAATATCATAATAATCTATTCCAACCTTTGAATGGGAAGAGTTCAAGTGTGTCTTCAGGGGTTAATGAGTTAATGAACCAGAATAAGGACAGGGTGTGCTTATTAGGTTGATTACTGTAAAACACCTTAATGAATTTATCATTATAATAATAGCACATGAGTCAATTACCAAGTCCGCATTGTTCAAAGTCTGGTCGGCTTAACAAAGTTTTTAAAAAAAATCTAAACAAACTTTCAAAACAACTATTTGAAAACTAACATATATTTTCATGTTTTTGTATGTTAATGATTTGAATCTTGATAAGTTTTCAAAAATTTCAGTTATGAATTTCAGGTCATTTCGACATATACTAGATGGAATTTGTATGTTAATATGTTGTTAAGATAATTAAACTAAATTTAACAACTGTGCTCTGGTGAATACTACTTTCTGGAACATATATTCATATGCATCTTTGGGACCTGTGATATATCCTTACTATAAAATATGTTTCACATTCCTCATTTGAACATAGAATTTTGTAAATGTAGATTTAGAGGGTTGGATACAAAGAAAATTATGCATGTATAAAAAAGTGAAACAATTGCATATGATGAAATTTTAATGCTTTTCATAGTGACGCTTAAAAAATGTTGGTATTTGTATGTTTCAGATTTTGATTACGTTCCTTTTGTTGTGGTTTGTGGTGAGAAAGGGGAGGATGGAGCTGAAGAGGGCAGTTGAGGGGGAGGAGAAACCAGAATTTATACCTCTGACAGAAATTAAAGATGACAGCAGCTGATCATGTGGAGCCGTAGAAAGAATTTACTCTATAGTAAATCCCGTTTTCTTTAAGCATTAAATTTTTCCCTTTTTTTTGCTCAATATCTCACATGTTGGAGAAGTTTGTGTCTTGCTTTTTTTTTCTTTCTTGTTTTTCACTGCCTGCAATATAAATGCTAATTTAGAGCTAGTTTTTCGTTCCAATTCTACATTATTTAAATATCGTATGATTAGTTTGGTGATAACTTATATAACTTAGCACAACTGTAGTAATTGTTTAAGATAATTTTGTTCCTTTCCCCATACTCCTCCTAATTCATGTCCTGATGTGGGGCCTAAGAATTGCTAAAACTTAAACAGATATACTGTTGTAGCACTACACCTGTAACTTTTTGTATTAAACAGAGGTACCATACCGGTATTTATCTGGCAAGAAGCCCATGGTGCAAACACAAACACATACTGTGAAATCATATATTTTTGTGTGGCCCAAATTTCATGGTTTCTCAAAATAAACCACCGTTTCTTGTGTACATGAAGTTGTGGATGATGAGGACCCACTCCTAAGAAGAATTGCTTTACGTCAAACTTGTATTTACTTTATGGACCTATTAATTTGTGTATGAAGAGCACCCACAAAATCAATAAAATTCAAAACACCACGAAAATGAGTAAATTCACAGTAATCTCTGACTTAAAGTAGGGGGATGTACTTATACAGGGAAATGAAATAACATTGGTTGGTATTTCTACCGCACTATCGTATATATGGCTGGGCCTATTAGCAGGCATTTAGGGGCTTATTGCAGGATTAATGTGTTAAAAGTCAAAGAAAACTACTTATACTTTCGTCTGTACTCACACAAGTATTTTCTGAACATGTATATATACATACGTTTGATGCAGATAATTTTTTTGCATGGTTTTATGTTGATTGCTTTTGTGTGTGTACGGTGTATTTATTGTTTCGACAGTGTATGATGTACTTGTGAAAGAAATAAGGATGTGTTGGACTTTTGTGTTATTTCCCATTGATGTCAAAACAGAAATTGTCAGTTCCAGTTCTTTGTTTTTATTGTTAGACAGTAGTTCAAAGCTAAGTTTGTTACCTGAACCACAGAATTAGACTAGTCTATGCTATGTAAGTCTGTGCCTGAACTATTAAACTACAGGTACTCCAAAACACTACCTACAGAACTAAGGTTCATACCGCATGAAGACATGTTTGATTGAACAATTCATAAGCTGAATAGCAGTGTACAACACAATGCTGACAATTATTAATAAAAACCAGAACTGAAACCGATTCCTTCCCCATGGAATCTATTAATATTACATTGGTTTAATTATTATTGTTAATTATGACAAATACACAATTGACTAATTGGGTGAATTATGACATAGATTGAGTAAAGGTTAATTATGACATTACAACACTGTTAATGGTGTTTAATAATGACGCCTATGTTCAGATAGTTATGACATAACTGCATTGTTTTAGATAATCTAGGACTTATTGATAATGGAAATGGTTGATTATGACGATGTTAAATGGTGTACAATCATGACATTCGATGGTCAGATAGTTATGACATATTTGTGTTGTTTAAGGTATTCTATGACATTTGGATATTGAAAATGGTTAATTATGACAATCTTAATGATGTTCAGTTATGACATTGAGGGTTAGATATATTTATGACATATAATGGCATTGCTTTAAGTTCTATATGATTTTATGCCATTTAGGGTTAGTTAGTGATGACAAAATTACGTTGATTGAGGGAAATTGATTATGATAGTACGACATTGTTAATGGTGTTTAGTTATGACATAAGGGGCTAGTTAGTTATGACATAAGGGGCTTGTAAGTTATGACATAAGGGGCTTGTTAGTTATGACATAAGGGGCTAGTTAGTTATAACATGATGGCACTGTTTGATGGAAGTTCATTATTATTAAGCCTTTCACCACTGTAGACTATAATGGACTCATCCAGATCAATGTGTGGAAGAGTTAACTAAAGTTACATAGGGGTGAAAGGGTTAAATGCTTATGTTATGACATTGTGTCATGTTTGAGGGATGGTAACTGTAAAATAAACATTTCCTGTTCATTTCGGTGCTTAATATTAAAAAACACACCAATGTATTGGACCATTGGAAAAATTTGCATTCATTTTTTTCTTTTTTAATATCTTAGCCAAAACAAACTTCAATTTTTTGGTATTTCTTGGCCAAACCAAAACTTGTTTTTATCAACATAACGCTTCTTACAATCAGTTTTGTAGATGTGATATATTCTAATGTTCTGAATGCCAATCTAACAAAACGAAACTGTTAAATGGTAGTTTTTGGATATAGCAATAAACCAAATGATTTGTATTCCCCGTATTTATGTATTCTATGCAGATTGTGATTAATAGTTTCTTTAATAAATATGTGTGTATATATTTCATAGAAAATGACAGCCAAAATGCAAAAAATTAATAACAAATTATACTTCAATCACCTTACACGCTTGTCAAATTATACTAAACAATGTACATATTTTCAGGAAATATTAATAAATGTGAAGATTGATTCTAAATTTACTAATTGTATATGCCATGTGTAGACATTGCTTTGTTTTATGAAATAGAATGTGATCATTGTTAATTGTTACAACTTTTCTTTTCAAGATGAATTGTTACTGATATCAACACCGTTCCATTTTGTGTAAGAATTATTTTACATTACCAGACAACGAATGAATTAATGACAGCACAGTGAGTATTATGCAATAAATGACTAAATAGCCAATAGCGGTTGTCTCCCCTTGTCCAAGTTGGTAAGTTCACTAGTCTAAAGGCGTTCCCTAACCCATTAATAACATTGTATATTATTAGCTTACCTGGCCAAAAGAGGCCAAAATGTTACAATATTGTGCCATGGTGCAGCGCCAGAGGTGTATCCACTATTTAAATCCTTTAAAAGCCTACTCAATGTAGGCAGATAAAAATATTTTCATCTTCTCCCCGATTTCCACCAAGCTAATGGTGACAAAATTTGTCAGCCTATCATTCTGATTGACAGAGATGTTTTTGACTTATTATATATTCCAACTGTTTCATTTTAATTAAATTAAATTATTTGGGTCAGACAGAAATCTGTGATAGCCACCAGGGTCTAAAAAAAATGGTGGCACTCACAGAGCCTTCAATTTTATAATGATAAATTCCTGGGGTGAAGAGAACATGGATGACAGTACTAGTAATTCCTGGAATTTCGAGAATAATTTGGTTGATGAGGTCACTATTAGTATACGTCATGTTTCCTGACGTATAACACTACATTATTAACAATAATTTTTTTATCCATTGAATCGGAATTGAACTTATTTGGAAAAGGAAAGTCATTAAAAGATATATTTAGTTCTGTAAAGTATACATGGATTAGGAATGTATAAACATTCTAAAAAAAACGTGGAATACCTTGCATAACTCCTGATAATGAATCAATGCAAATAAGCAATTGTGATCTCAATATATTAGTTATCTATTAATTACTGTTAAATATATTAATTATTTTAGTGATGGATTATGATAAAGAATTTTATCTGTGGTAATTCCATGTAATCCAAGAATAATTTTTAATACAGATATATATCTCCCTGTTGTTTACTTATCCCTCTGACTGTGTTTGTTGTATATGTTGATTTAAGTATAGATTGGAGTTAAGCTTTGATTAGGCTAATGAAAATTAGAAAAAGTATCACCCATTCTGTTTTGCTCCAGACCCAAACAGTTAAAACCAAATTTATATATATTAACCGGTAATTGTGGAAGATAGGCTTCATGATCGTATTTCTTGAGAAATCAGATTTAGAATAGCTTTTATCAAATAAACAAATATATGCAAACGATCTATAATTTTATCAATTGTTTGAATTGAACTATGGTCACATCTGGTTATAATGACTGGATATTGTGGTGTGTGACATAATGAAATACAAAGAAATAAAGAACATTTGTGTGACCTAAGAAGATACTTACACTAGTAACATAGGAATTATGTGATTGAAGTAAGATTTCTCTTGATCATCTGTTTGTGTATATCCCATAATGCACAGAAATGTCAAAACAATTTTAAAAAATATAGATAGTTGTTCATTAATTTTATGATGCTCTGGGTGTTTGGTAGAATCCTCGATATCCAGGGGCTACGCTCATTTTGATTCTCTCCACCCCTGGAATATGTCTTAGCAAAATTGAAGACTCGGTGTGAACCGCCTTGTGGACGCAACGAGAATACTAGTTTGATCCTTTGATGTACATCAAAAGAATCTCGCAGTTGCGTAACGGTCCAACTTATTGGCTTTGAAGTCGGTTGTTGCCCCTTTGTAATCTTCAAAGGACAAGTATCAGCCTAATGATTTGTCAGGTGTTGTTTTTTTACCTGACACCAATCAAATAGCTAGTCGTGTGCGTTCAATTTTGCTATGACATATTCCAGGGGTGCAGATAGCGAAAGTGAGCGTAACCCCTGGATATCGAGGATGGTGTGGTAATAGACGAAAGGAGATACTGTATTTGCCGTTAGGATCAAGTGTACTAAGCATTCAGAACAAACATTTGATATATTTAACAGGTTGTGAGAGTGATAGTATGAGATAGAGTTGACTCGCCTTGTAATGTTTTATCTTGTGATATGATATTTAAGATTGGTGTACTACTATTTGGTTATCAAGTATTGTAATAGTTCAGTGATGGTATTACCTTTGTAATGTATTGGTGCTGTACAGAAATTTATTGTCCTGTAGCAGGCTGAAAGGATTTCCCCTCCCACATTTTCTGATATGTTTCATTAAATTCCACAATTTTCATTTGATTAAGGATCCCCGTCCCTCCGCCTAAAAATGTAATGAGGCATTGTTTTTTTTCTACGTGCATCGCTTTTGCATAACCAAATCATTTCTGAACAATAACCCATACCTTGCTGGTAACAGACAGATATGGCAATATTGCGAAATGTAATAATTTCAATTCAGTGGTACCAAAATGACTTCAGGAAAAATGCATAAAAAGTAGAAATGCATGAAATATATAGTAAAAAATGGGTTGGTGGATTTATATCTTTAGATCCCAGACTGTAAT